AGTAATTTCCGCTTGCCATGTGTCTTTTTGACAGGGTCTGCCTGGGGACTCACCCTTTAACTTTATGGTTCTTGAAGGGAGTTCGCAATCTGAGGCCTGTTGTTAAGACTTTCTGTCGCTTCTTGGGACCTTGTTTTGGTTCTAGAGGCCCTCCGTAGTCCTCCATTTAAGCCAATTGAGTCAGTCAACATGAAGTTCCTGCCTTACAAGACAGCCCTGCTCTTTGCCCTGCATCGGCTTGCGGGTAGGGGATCTTCATGCTCTTTTGATTTACTCTTCTTGTCTGCAATTCTCAAAAGATGGGTCTAGGGTTACTCTGCATCCAAATATGTGTCCAAGGTCATCATGCTGACCTTTGGTTCTATGATCATAGAGCTTTCGACTTTCCAATCGTCCTTCTTTTGCCCCTGAGGAGCAGACGTTGCATTGTCTGTGTCCGGTTCGTGCTCTAAAGCCTTATGTGGACTCAGATTTTCCAACTGTTTGTGTGTTTCGCTAATCCCTCCAAGCTTTGTCCAGGCAAAGACTTTCTCATTGGACCGTGAAGGCTGTTTCACTGTGTTAGTGTTAATGGCTGTCAGCTGCCCCACGGGGTCATAGTGCACACCACTAAAGGCAAGGGCACTTCAGGGGCACTGTTTTTAGGCCCCTTTGGTGGCTCATGAAGTTCTTTCTGCTGGGTCTGAGTTGCCGTCTTAGATTGTGTTGTCGGCCCTGGTTGATAACTGCTCATGGGGCTTTTTATATGTCCCATAGTACCTTTGTTGTACCGAGTGAATTGACTGAAAGGAAAGGTTATGCATATAACCACTGTTCCCTGAAGGAGAGGAACGAGGTACAACGCATGGCTGCTCCTTTCGCAGCCTAGCTCGGTGAAGAGCGGCTATCGAAATGCCGGTGATGTCGGGGACTTGTAGGAGGAGGGCGGGACCACCACCCAGTGTCACGCTCATTTGCCTTTACAGGCGTGATTAGATGCGTCTTCAGCCAGGCCCTACGAGGGCGTGATGTCCCATAATGTCTTCGTTGTTCCTCGTTCCTCTCCTTCAGGAAACAGTGGTTATATGCACAAACTAACATTTTCTTCTCATTTGCTCATTTGTCATGGCCATGATGCTTTGTGGGTTATGTCATGATTGGATGGAGCTCAGGCTGGTGGAGGTGGGGTTGACTGAAGCACACCGTTTCATGTCCGGATACAAATACAGGCTGACGAAAATAACTTCAACTAATAAGACATCTCAAGAGTGCCAGCTGTAAGAGTTTAATCATGTGCTGCATCTACTTTTGCTCACAGAGGTTTAAAATGGCATGATTTGGCTCCTTTAAGAGATACAAACTGTTGCTGAGTAAATGTTTTTCACAATGTTTTAGTAGTCTTTGTGCACTCCTGATGGCTTTAAATGGCACAGCTTCCTCTTATGAAACAAACTGTAAAAATAACCCTGACATTTAGTGACTTTGCAGATGACACAAACTCAAGCGAAGCATCCCTTTTTAGTTACCGTACATACATTTTTATAAGATCACAGATGACATAACAAAATTCATCATTAATGAAATGATGAAAAGAGCATAACACAGTAATGAGTGTATGATGTAACACACACCCATCACTTCTCGATGGTTTAGAGGAGATACCTTTAATTCAAATCAACTATGACATATACACCATAGAGCCAATGACCCGATGAGTACCAGAGAAGTGTAAAATGGGGCAGCAGTAGCTCAACAGGTTGAGCGGGGTGTCCAGTAATCGGAAGGTTGCAGGTTCGATCCCGGCTCCCCTCTGTCAGTGCGCCCCAGGGCAGCTGTGGCTACATCGTAGCTCATCACCATCAGTGTGTGAATGTGTGTGTGTGTGAGTGGATGAAAGTCACACTGTAGTGTAAAGTGCTTTGGAGTCCTTACTCTGAGAGGCGCTATACAAGTGCGGGTTATTTATCATTATTTAAATGTTAAGTGAGACCAAATAGCACTTGGCAGTTTCAGGTTGGTTCTTTATACTTCATGTTCCAAGATGTTTCCTGTTGAACCTTTATAGGATTCACACCATCCCATCTAATCTGATCCAAGCTAAAAACGTTCTGCAGAAACTGTTTCCTACGTTTACTTTTCCTTTTTAGAAGACAAATTAGCAACTTGACCCAATTAGAGCAAACGGATGCTTTCATCTGGAGCTGGAGGCAGACACCAGCAGACCAACAACCAACAAAACTTTATTTCAAAACTTGTTTTGCTTTGAATTTGTTTTAGTTGAGACAAAAGATCAAATGCTTCAATATGTATTATTATGTATGTACATATATTAGGGCATTTGTTTGCAGGAATAACATATAATCTGATCTGTCATCTGTGATCCTGTAGAAACTCAGAATACAGCAGAGAGGATCCAGAATTCACTGGAAGAGACGAGATTTGGAGGAACTCTGACTGAAGAAAATCAAACTAATTCTGAACAATATGTGAGCAAAACCAGTTAAAACCAGCTTCGAGAACAGAAGGTGCTTAGGAAACCTTTGTAACACATCTCCTTTTCCTAGATGAGAAAACATGATGATAAACAATCCAACAGTGCCATCTGCTGGTATGAATCGAAACTTAAATTGTACCTTTAGATATATCTATGGATGGTTGAGGTTTTATCTAAATTACAATCAGTGTTATCAAAAACCTAGAGAGGGATGATGATGATGATGGAGACCAGTGACATATTTATCATGGATGGTGACAGAGGAAGAGGTTGATGAGGATCAAGTGGAGCCAACTCTCCACATAGCCGCATCATAACAGGAACGTTTTACTGGGAAAGTACAGAATTCCAGCTCTGAAAAAGATTTTTTATTCTGTTACAAGTAGTAACATTATACTAGAGATTTTCAGTACCCAGCCCTATTCTGGATTATGGAGAAGCACTTCTCAGTACGTGTCCCCAAGGATTGTGACTTTATAAAGAAGGAAGGTTAACGAGACACGGGTTAACGAGACGCGGGTTAACGAGACACGGGTTAACGAGACACGGGTTAACGAGACACGGGTCAACGAGACATGGGTCAACGAGACACGGGTTAACGAGACACAGGTCAACGAGACACGGGTCAACGAGACACGGGTTAACGAGACACAGGTCAACGAGACACGGGTCAACGAGACACGGGTTAACGAGACACGGGTTAACGAGACACAGGTTAACGAGACACGGGTCAACGAGACACGGGTTAACGAGACACGGGTTAACGAGACACGGGTTAAGGAGACGCGGGTTAACGAGACGGGGGTTAACGAGACACGGGTTAACGAGACACGGGTTAACGAGGGTTAAGGAGACACGGGTTAATGAGACACGGGTTAATGAGACACGGGTTAACGAGACACGGGTTAACGAGACACGGGTTAACGAGGGTTAACGAGACACGGGTTAGTGAGACACGGGTTAATGAGACACGGGTTAACGAGACACGGGTTAACGAGACACGGGCTAACGAGACACGGGTTAACGAGGGTTAACGAGACACGGGTTAACGAGACACGGGTTAACGAGACACGGGTTAATGAGACGCGGGTCAACGAGACGCGGGTCAACGAGACGCGGGTCAACGAGACGCGGGTCAACGAGACGCGGGTTAACGAGACGCGGGTCAACGAGACGCGGGTCAACGAGACGCGGGTCAACGAGACGCGGGTTAACGAGACGCGGGTTAACGAGACGCGGGTTAACGAGACGCAGGTCAACGAGACGGGGGTTAACGAGACGCGGGTCAACGAGACGCGGGTCAACGAGACGCGGGTTAACGAGACGCGGGTTAACGAGACGCGGGTTAACGAGACGCGGGTCAACGAGACGCGGGTCAACGAGACAACGGTTAACGAGACACGGGTCAACGAGACACGGGTTAACGAGACACGGGTTAACGAGACACGGGTTAACGAGACGCGGGTTAACGAGACGCGGGTCAACGAGACGCGGGTCAACGAGAAGCGGGTCAACGAGACACGGGTCAACGAGACAACGGTTAACGAGACACGGGTCAACGAGACACGGGTCAACGAGACACGGGTTAACGAGACACGGGTCAACGAGATAACGGTTAACGAGACACGGGTCAACGAGACATGGGTTAACGAGACACGGGTTAACGAGACACGGGTTAACGAGACACGGGTCAACGAGACACGGGTTAACGAGACACGGGTCAACGAGACACGGGTTAACGAGACACGGGTTAACGAGACACGGGTCAACGAGACACGGGTTAACGAGACACGGGTTAACGAGACGCGGGTCAACGAGACGCGGGTCAACGAGAAGCGGGTCAACGAGACACGGGTCAACGAGACAACGGTTAACGAGACACGGGTCAACGAGACACGGGTCAACGAGACACGGGTTAACGAGACACGGGTCAACGAGATAACGGTTAACGAGACACGGGTCAACGAGACATGGGTTAACGAGACACGGGTTAACGAGACACGGGTTAACGAGACACGGGTTAACGAGACACGGGTCAACGAGACACGGGTTAACGAGACACGGGTCAACGAGACACGGGTTAACGAGACACGGGTTAACGAGACACGGGTTAACGAGACGCGGGTTAACGAGACACGGGTTAACGAGACACGGGTCAACGAGACACGGGTTAACGAGACACGGGTTAACGAGACACGGCCACAGATTCCACTGGAAATAAAAAAAAAAAGATGCTCCTTGTTTGAATATGCAGGAGGAACAGAATAATGTGATGGTGCAGGTGATTTCTGAAGAACCCGATGTTTTAGGCTCCATCACTGCAGGAAAAACCTTCAGGGACCACTGGTGCAGAGCCAGTAATAAAGGGTTGTCAGCAGCTAATCACAGCAGGAAAAGATGGCGGGTGGATTAACTATTAGATTCTGATTCCTCAAAAGGAACATGAACATGTCAGATCAGCATGGAGACAACCCCTGATCTCTACTGGATTTACAGGACAGCCATGAAGAAAGAACACAGTGATCACCTCAGGCTGCTGTCAGCTCCAGCCATCATGTAGTAGAAGACATTGAAGGTGGACTCTGCTTCAGGTCTTCTGATCACCCTCACTTTCTCCAGCAGCATCGTCTACATGAGAAGACCCAACAAAGTTTCTAAATGTTGTAATTCAGCTGTGAGTGTTGAGGATTGATGGACAGGACAGATGTTACCTGGATGGAGGCCGAGGCCACCTGACCCGCCTGGTCAAGATCCAGGGACACCACATGAGAGAAGCGGCTGGCGTTTGTGTTCATAGCAGAGGAGCTGTTACCAAAAGCCTCCAGGATGGTGTAGACCGCCTGCCACTTCTCAGCTGTTTTGCAAAAACCACATTAGCCATTCTGAAGTGTGGCGAGTGAGGATTGATTTTTTATAAAAAGTAGAAGGCAGGGGCGTGGAGACGTGCAGCAAATCCAAATGTTCACGCTTGCTTCATTTACAACTAAAGCATCTACTGTGTGATTAAAAAGCGTATCGTCTCTGATTGTGCTGCAGTTTGTTAGCTTCAAAAGTTAGAGCAGGACTGTAGGGACTTTACCAGTGAAGGCCTACCAGAGAAGATCTTGCCTGTGCTCCCAGCGATGGAGACAAGGTACTGGACCAGGTGCTGGCAGTTGGTGGTTTTGCCGCTGCCAGACTTGCCCAGTAGAACAATGGACTGGTTCTGTCGGGTAGTGAGCAGGTTGCGATAGGCTGACTGAGCCACAGCGTAGATGTGAGGAGCCGTGTCTTCCCGCCGGCAGCCCTTGAACATGTGCATCACCTGTTGGTGCAGCAAAAGGTAAACAAAGAACAGGTTAAAGAGCACAAAGCAACGAGCAGATCACCAGAGAGGTTGTTCAACAGGAGATCCATCATAATCCTGAATGTTTGTGACAAATATCAGCTCATTAGACCAGATTGATGAGCTAACAGCTAGTCTGAGTGCTGTGTCAAGAGAAAGTGCCGCCATCTTAAAAAAATGAATAAATAATAATAATAACAATAATAATGCACATTTGTATAGCGCTTTTCTACGTCAGGAACTCCAAAGCACTTATCGGTGCACCCATTCACACACAGGTGGTGATGAGCTACATCGTAGCCACAGCTGCCCTGGAGCACTCCGACAGAGACAAGGCTGCTGGACACAGGCACCGCCGACCCTCCAACCGCCACAAGCAGACAAGGGAGGTGAAGTGTCTTGCCCAAGGACACAAAAACTGACACCTGAGCCTAGGCTTGAACCAGCAACCCACTGACAGAGCGAACTTCTAACCTCTGAGCCAATAAAGTATTTAATTACACAAACATCATTTTACAAGGCTGAATTCAACCTTTCACCTCTTATTTTATGACTGATCTGTCTCTTTGGTCCTGACATTCCTGCCTTAACTGCCGTTATTCCTTTAGTTTTCCATCTCCAGTGTGGAGGATGCACACAAGTCCAATGAAGCAGTCCAACCTTCTCTGAAAAAGCCACCTGATAAACAGGAGGTTCACAACAAGTCAAACAGATTTGATCAGATCTTCACAAAGTCACTTGTGAGTTTGAGCTAAACGCTAAGCTAGCAGCACCACCACTGTGTGGCTCCACAGCAGCAGACTCGGCCTGTCCTGTTCTTGTCCCTCTCACCTTCTCAGAGTACATGGAGGGTGTGCTGAGAGGGTTGATCACCACCATGTTGGGTCCAGCGAACGAATGGATGAGGTTTCCTCCGTAGCGCTGCCTCAGGCAGTGCATCACACTGGACTCATTCAGGTAGAGCAGTGAAGCCAGGTCTTCTGATCGGTCATATGATGGAGGATTAGCCTGCACATAAACACAAACACGTCAAAAACAGCCGAGGCTGCAGTGGCTGAGTAACTAGCTGACTGGGCAAAAACTCAAATCCACTCTTAACTGTAGAGCTCTCATTCGTTCATTTTTCTACTGATCTGCTGTGGTCTCCAGTATGAATACATGAATACCTTTAGAGTCATTGCCAGTGGGGGAAAAAGCTCTAGCACTCCTGTTATAGAGGGAAGAAGTTTATCGGAGGAGTAGGGCGGGAAATGGCAGGATTTCGAGTTTGATTCATTAATATTCGTGAAAAACGTATCGCCTGATTGGCTAACAACACAAACCTTCCACTAATGTTCTTTCTTATGTAAAAAGTGTAACACTGATGTTTTCTCTCACAAAAACAAGTTCAATTCAATTCAAAAATACTTTATTAATCCCAGAGTTCTGCCATGTGTTGGAGCCGCCAATGCTACCAGTTAGCTTCTCCTAGCCGAGACGTGCTCTGCTCTCTCCTGGCCACTAAATCTATACAGCCAGTCAACTAGAACATGAAAGGTGGGCGGGGCCATGAATGCTAATTTTCCCTGTGACATAGAAAAGACTGGCTTTGTCTGACAAAAACTCTTAACTACTTATTTTCCACAGAAAATGTTTAACTTTGTGCATAATCAGGTAATAGATCTAGTTAGTAATAAGGTTGAAGGTTCAAACCCTTGCTGTGGCCTTTCTGCTGGAGTTAGCATGTTCTCGCCATGCAGGTGTGGGTTTCTCTGGGTACTGGGTTAACCGGCGACTCTAAACCGTCGCTATAAGTGTGAGTGAGTGTTTGAGTCGGTCTGTCCCTGTGAGGGACTGGAGACCCGTCCAGGGTGTTCCCCACCTCTCACAATGAGCCTTAAAGGAAGAAGATAATGAATGAAACTCAGTAGCACCAGGCAGCCTCTTACTATGTGATGCCGCCGGTGGCAGTCTGCATCCAGAAAGCTCTACAGCGACTGTTTAATAATGGGAAATGCTATACTATATAAATACTATATAAAAACTTTAAAATCCTTATGAATCATAACCGTTTGTAAACAAATCAAAGGAAATCATTGGAACACTAAATAAATAGCCTGCAATCATGTCACAGTTTAAATCCTGTAATGAACTCAGTGGTATTCCCACCTTTTCTATGTCATCTTCATCCACATCCAGTATTGTCCCATCATGCTCCAGTTTGATTTTCACCTTTCCCTCTGGCAGTGAGCCAGACTCTGCCTTCATCACGGTGGCTGAAGATAGAAGATAAAAACGTATTAAACAGCTGTAGCAGGAAATAAACCTAATCAGAGCACAGGCTGAACCTGCGTAGGCAGAAATGAGACTAAATCTATGAAAGGATAAAAACCTGCACCTCACATGAAACCATTCTATAGTCCTTTTGGGTTTTCTCTCCTTATAATCACATTTTATGTCTTTTAGTCGGAGTGGATTAAGATCTGGAGTCTATGTGTGCGTCTGCAAGTTCTCTGGATGTGGTTCCTGAAGCAAAGGCGCACACGAACAAGGAGGCACTAACTTTAGGTTAATTTGTGATTCTAGATTGGCCTAAAATGAGTTGTGTGTGGAACCACCGCATGAGGACAGACTGCTGAGAGGAGCACAAAGCAGTCTCGGCGAGACAGTACGAAGCAGTGCTTCATATCAGAGTCTCCAAAGCAACACAGCAGCTCACAGCCGCCTTTGCTTACTAGCTTAGGGACAACACCACGGACTTCTACGCATGTCTTCTGCCCCGCCCACATGCTTGGAGACATCCACATTCCTGAGAAGTCTGCATGAACCACAGACATACGACATGGGAGGAAGCAGAAATGGCTGTGATGAAATCAGCTCATGCAGGGACACCAGACAAAGCTAACCATGTTAGCTGAATAGAGAACAGCTAGCTGAGTAACCATCCTGCAGAGGAGAAAGAGCCTATCAGAAATAAAAAACCTTTTTGTTTTATTCTGACAAGAGGACGATGATTCAGTGCATCTTGGCTTGGACAATCTTCTGCTGTTCACCATCTTGCCACCAAAGTCCCCCAGGGCTCTGCACTAGGACATCTTCTATTTGCCATACACACCGCCTCACAGGGTGAGATCATCCGATCACATGGCTTCTCCTACCACTGCTATGCTGACGACACCCAGCTCTGTCGTTTCTGTTGGAGGGTCCACACGAATCTCGGACTGTCTCTCTGACATATCAGGATGTAGGAAATCCCACCATCTCCGACTCAACCTCTCTAACTGAATTACTTACGTATATCCCAGCAAAACCATCCATACAACACAATATCTCAATCCAAAATGCTTCCCTGTCTCTGGCTCCTTCAAAGGCAGTTCAAAATGTGGGTGTTGTGACTGATGACGTCTGCTAAATACATAAACATAAAGAAGAATGCTGGATTTGAGACTATACCCTGCTATCTGCATAACAGGTAGTGAGAAAAGTAAAATTACCGTAACTGCTTATGAGGTCTGAGCTTTTTAGGCTAAACTAATTACAGGTTTATTCTGAAGGCTCCTGTTCTTCCTGCACGTTTTCATGAGGCTGACCTGATTTAACGTTTTATGTTTGCTGTAAAAATGTGATGGATGAGCTGAAAATGTCAAAGAGAACTTTGTGTTAAAAGTGTTTTTGTCATATATGTGAACCTACTTGCATGTGTTGCACACCTGTTTTACTGAAGACTCCACCCAGATCAAACATGTACAGGTGAAACTGGAAAAATCTGCAGGTGTTCTTGATTCATCAGCTGATTAGAGTCTTTGAGTCTAGAATATTGAACCTTTTCCCAATATTCTAATGGTCTGAGATTCTGAAAGTGTGGTTTTCATCAGCTGTAAGTCATGATCATCCCACTAACAACAAATAAAGGCTGAAATATCTGGATTTGCATGGAATGAGTCTGTCTCCTAGATTAGTTTCACCTTTTAGGTTGAATTAGTGACATAAATTAATGTTTTCACCGTTTTCCACTTTTCAAAGTTTCACCCAAATGCACCAAAACAGGTTATTATAAAATGGTTACAATATTATAATATAGTACGATATAGCATTTGAAAATAAATGCATCATTTGTGAAACTGTCTCAATAACCACAGCTTGGGAAACACAAATCCCTTTTCACATTCGTAATAATGAAATAGTTGGGGAGATGCACAGGCAACAGGGTCTCTCACCCAGAGAGAAGCCATCTTTGTGAATGAGCCAAACTTTCTCTGATCCGTACCACGCCTGCTCCGCTGCAATCTGCTCCTCAGACTTCACCTGAAAACACAAAAACTCAAATGAACAAACAGAAGTAAAAATTATCCCATAATGTCACACTGCATTCATTAGACTCAGTTCAACAGCAGCACACACGAATGTTTAAAAAACAACTCATCAAGATGCCAGTTCACCGTGTGTGTGTGTGTGTGTGTGTGTGTGTGTGTGTATGTGTGCGTGCGTGCGTGTGCGCGTGTGTGCGTGCGTGCGTGCGTGTGTGTGTGTGCGCGCGCGCGTGCGTGTGTGTGTGCGTGCGTGCGTGCGTGCGTGTGTGTGTGTGTGTGTCCAGTGGATGCATATGAAAGAAAAATAAAGAATAAATAGCTAGCATGCTAAAAACAACAGGGATGTGAAAAACAAACAAGGGATGCCCTGATCGAGGAATATTGCAGTACTGTTTAATATAGCAGCACACATCTGATCCTGACCAATTCTCTATGATTTTACACCAGCAGCAACTCTCTACTCAGAGGAAGGAACCACATCTGTCAAGAGCTCAAGGAGCCCAACAACCAATTAGAATACTGGGAGCACCATCACCTGTAAATAAGTTTTACTCTGATTACTTTCACTTAAATGTGAGTAAAGTAAAATCTGCAGACATGAGATGAGCTGGTTTTCTCTCCTCCATCAGTAATGTAGATGACCAGAACCTCACACACTGCTGCCTTCAGAGGCTGCTTTCCACTGAATCCATAAACATTGTTGATGAACTCTTTAATATTACAGCCTGGTCATGTGTGCCACCTGCCCACAGTGGTGCTTAACAATAAGGAGCAAACACAAACAATGACTGTTGTTTAAGATGTGTGCAGGAACAGTAAGATCTGTGTAGACCCCTGACCCTAACCCCGCTACACGATATTGATACCTAGCAAATAAATCCCTGATGCTGAATGAATCAGATCAGTACTGGGGACAAGAACTTCTTGATCAGGACACCCCTAAATAAACTAAGAACAGGTTAGGTCACGACTACTGACCACGTAAGTGCAACTGAATTATTAATAATGTGCCCCAAAACACTAGTTTGAATGCTAGGAGACAGAACAGAGCACAAAGCACGCCACAGTGGAGGGTGATCATGGTGGTGGATTGATGAGTCGGACACACAGCAGACCACACCTGGGGTTGCTTAGCAGCAACATGAGCGGCCTGGAAGCGGGCGAAAGAATCCTCTTCCACCGATCCCTGAAGGACGTGCCAGCAGTTAAGAGGTCAAAGGGCACAGTTATATATGAGCAAGACATTACAGAGTCACACTGAAATAAAAACACAAATGTTGAGCATGAAGCATTGTCTGCATCAAGGAAGCATTTGCCTTCAAATAGGGCATAGGACAGTCATAAATGTTCCACCAGCGCACGTGAGGGGGAGACCTCAGCTCAGTGCGGACTTCATGCTTTAGGGTTCGTCTCTTTTTAGTCACATTTTGTTGCCCGACATGAACATCCAAACGTTTCGGATGTTGCTTTCATTTTCAAGCTGCTTTCCTTTGTTTGTCAACAAGCTCCAACCTCTCTGGGGAGAACAACCGTCTGACACTGGTGGCTGACCTACCACAAAACATGCTAGTTAGCATAATGTAGCTTTAATTGGTTTACTGTAAATTCAACACGACAGACAACCAAGTTAGCTACATAAACGGCATGATAAAATGTGACAAGCGTGATCATTATGCCTACATGTGGCACATCGAGTCACTCGGTGTTGTTTGGTTCTGATAAACTTTAGTTCACAGCATGAATGTTTGGTGCTCAGCAGTGACGTGAAGCGCTTGTTTACCCGACAGGTACTTAAAAGGGTCAAAGCCATCCCAAAGCCTTCTTTGGCACAGCTTTGTAAGCAGGCAGCAAACTGTAGTGTGTTATTCAGCCAGAAGGGGGCAGCAGTGTTACACAGAGAAGTAATTGAACCGACAACATAGGGATGAGGAAGAAAAGTTGTATTTTTTGGGTTTTACACACCTTATTGTAAATTTGACAAGAAACGATAGAAAGTAACTGATACATGCTTCTGTAGAAAACAACATGGCTGTTAGGGTCACAGAGGCTCAGGATATAGACTCTTCTTGAGTGAGGCCAGATTCATCAGGTGTAAGGTGTGTGGCGGTTTCATTAAGGCTCGCGTCGGTTACCCGACACGTTCATGTCAGCGTGGCTCACACTGCCCTGCAGCCATCTCAAGTTTCAGTATGTTGTTGATCCGTCAACCAGCAACAGCTCACTCACTGTTTAGGTGGCCTGACACAAACACTACTAATGACTTCACGTTTCCTTTCTGTGAGCTGCGTTAAGTTACCGCTAGACACTGTTCATCTCCTCACTTCTGTTGCACCACAACCCACGGGCCCTAAACAAACACACCGCTGAGCAGAAAGAAAAGAAAACCCAGAAGCACAACAACGACTGAACGGTTAGAGGCGTAAAACTATTAGAGCCAACATAAAGAGGAATACTGAAATAAATGATAGGTAAACAAACCCAAGCAGTGCTAGTAAAACGCTGTCAAATGTCAGTAGAAATGTTAAACAATAGTTTTCATCATGTGTCTAGTGAGCTATTTGACTCCAACGCGGTGTCAAGGAATCCTAGTTTAGGCTGAAGACGGTCTCAGTTCAACGCTTTTTACAGCTTCGGGATATGTTACATCACAGAGCTCGGGTCAAACTCCGCTGACATCAGGATGTGTACACAACTGTCAGACAAAGTACCACACTGAAAAAACATGGCTGTAAATGGGACCTTTCACCAATGGAAGCATGTGGAGATGCTTCGGCCATCTTTATTTACGTGGATGAGAAACACACACAGATGAGTCACCACATATCAGAACCAAGATGCTGCCCAATTCACAACCCAGCTGAAAAACCATGCTAAGCAAATAAGACCCGGCACTGACCAGAGCCCCCAGACACACTCCAACTCCCTTCACGCTACTGAGACACGGAAAACCAACCCCGACTGTTTCAGACTTAAGGCTAAACTCTCTCTGGAAAACGTGTCTGAGAGCTGAACTGATAAACAACCCAACAGACTAAAACGTTAGCTTGTTTGTGAAAAGGGTCATCTGAGGTACTTGCATCAATAATCATTTATCTCTCACAGTTATCTCAGTATGAGCCTAACATTTGCCATGTCTGGTGCATCAAACAATCAAAACACACTTTTGTGTTATTTGGGTTTGTTGTAACATGCGTTCCAACATGCCATGCACCAGCGACGCACAACGTGCTAGATGAGGCCACTGTACCTCCTGTTGACTGGCAGCAGAAGGGGGTCCTGGTGGAAAAGACTGTGGAACTTTACAGGGAGGAAGAAGATGCGAGCTGGCGCCACCTGCAGGTGCAGGGGCACTGCCGTCTGGGCTGGATCCTGATGGTGGTGGGAGTGAGGACTTGGGTGGAGGCGGGTGAGCTGAAGGAGCTTTTGAAACGGTGAGTTTTGTGGTAGCTGCAGGTTTGGGTGCAGATTTAACACAAGGATGTAAAGTCAAGGGTGTAGACTTGGGAGGTGGAATAAAGCCCACCACCGATGGAAGAGACGAAGGTCGGACATTATTTAAGTTGGAAGAAGTTTGAGTTGAGTCTGACGAGACTGGATCTAAAGTGGAGAGACTGTGGATACTTTCCTGTGATGGCTGAACCGTTTTAACCTCCTTTTTCTCCTTTTTGTTTTCTTCCAAATGAACTTTTCTTTCATCATCGTCTTGCTTCCCCATCTCCACTTTTCCTGGTCGTCCATCCTTGTGTATTTGAGGATAAGGCTCTCGTGTCCTGCCCCTAACCATAAGGTTTGTTAGTCCTTGCATTAGGTCCTCTTTGTTTTCTGTTTTGATATTATTATGCTTAAACGAGAATCCTGACACTGACTGGGCTTTGGGCACAGATGCTGTCGATGGAGCTGAAGCGTCTCGGACCCGTTCGACGTTAAGCTTGCCTGCCTCTGGAGCTTTGGCTGATTTTTGCATTGGCACCTTAACTTCATCCTCTTCTGAGGGTAAGACCTTCCTAACAACACGACGAACCACCTTCACAACTTCCTTACAGGTGAGACCTTGTTCATCTACAGAATCCATTGAGTTGGTGGGAATGCTTGAAGAATTTGCATCACCATGGACCTGGCTTTTGCCAGCTGTCCCATTTAGCTCTTGCCTGTGGTTGTAGACTGGACTCAGAGGTGCTTGTGAAGATTCAGGGTTCTTGAACTGAGCTGACATCTTCAGCAAAGGTTCAGGACTTTTGAAGCGTTCAGGAACTTTATGAAGTGTCTTGGATTTTGGTGAAGGACTCCTGGCCCGGCCCGCTGATTGGACAGTGGGGACAGATGGAGGACTTTTTGCCCTGAACAACCCTCTGCCGGGATCTAAAGCTGGTACGGACATGGCTCGGCTTGCCAACCCATCAACCTCTGACTAATCACAAAAGAAAAACACGAGGTGTGAGGATGGATTGAGTGGTAAGGTCTACTGATCAAAAGTGGTCATTGAACAGCGTGCTTCGGATACCAACTAAGCCTGCCTAAACAGGACTTTGTTTATAAAGGAAAGACGTGTCAGACTTAGCTAAACTCCAACTCGTATGCTGCGTCAGACGGGCTTGGCAGACTGACTAACACCACCCTTGAACTGAACAAAAAGAGGCTTCTTGCTGAGATTAGCTCACTACTCAAAGAGCCTTCTGTTGGAAGTCCGATTTGGCTGCTGACAGCACTACCACTTCTCTAATGATGGAAATGACGCACAGCTGTCTCTTTCACATGCAGGCCTCATTTCAAATTCTCCCACAACAGATATTTTCACCTTATATTGACGCACACAGGGACACATAAACACAGATATATACTAACATCAATAATAAGAAACTGATGGACTCCAGCCAACTACAACTGGAAATGTTTGGTGAATAGACCAGACAGCACCTAAAGTCAGAGACCAAATGAGTCAGCTCACATGAACGCTCACAAGCAAGAGCTTTACGAGAAGTTTGGATGTTTCTTTTACTTGAACCTCAGGCAGAAGAAAGTATTACTGATAGAAGAAAGTTGCAAAATGAAGTCTGATTTTGAAGAATAAACTATTCTGATACATATTTGCGGGGAATCTGTAGTCAAAGACTTGTGATTTTCCAAGTCTAATTGTGAACATCAGAACATTTCTACTTACACTTTTGCTGCCCACTTTGTTCTCTTCTTTGATCTAAATCGTTGACACAAAACATGAAACCAGATCAAAACCTCCCACCACATCAAACTGTTGATCACAACCTGAGTCAAACATGCAAGGTGTCTACAAACCATGGTAACACGTGTCAGCATGGCAAACCAGGAATAAAACTCCATTTGGTGCAAAGTTTCTTTCATCACACTTACTGCACCCCAACTATCACACAGAACGCACCACATCACTCAAAGCATTGCTAGCATGACGGTTTGACTGGGTGGAAATCATAACTGAAGGCTGGAGGAAAATCCTTCATTCGTGCATATGTTATAAGCAATGTGCTTGTGTCAAACACCAACACACCATGCATGGTAAGGGTACTTCATGAAATGTCCAAATGAAACTTCCCTTTTGTTCCCAGAAGGAAAAGCGAGATGAGAATGCCATGTTGTTCTGCTGTCATGGGTTGTGATGGTCAAGATGAGTATAGGAGGAGAAAAGGGTGACGTAGAGCTAGAAGAGGATGAACGGAGAGATTATACAGAATGGAAGCGTGAGAAGATTTAGTCAAACTAAACCTGGCAAAAAAAATGTAAAAGGGAAAAAAGATAAAAAACAGCAGCATCAGCTCCTGCCTGAATTAAACACCACAGCTCTTTAGGTGGAACAACTCTAGAATGTACGGACATCACCGTAGGCTTTGAGAATCCCTACCGGCTCACCTGGATGTGGCTGGAAAAGGTTATGGATAACCAGGATGCGCAGCAGATTGTGTGTGTGGCCAGGGAGGAGTGACAGATATCATGGCAGGGAGCAAAGATCGTGTTTTTTTTTTCTAGATTATTCACAACAGACCGTGGATTGGAATGTGACCTTTAAACAAACTCAGATCTGAGAGGGAAAGGACTGGAGTGGAGTACTTGCTGCGCTTCCTGGGACTGAAGACTTAAAGCAGCATATAGATATTTATAGTGTAGAAGAGTTTAGAACTTCCTGGTGGATCATTCTGGCTCTGACCATGACCAAATAGATGTTGCTGGGACACTGGCGGCAGAAACGCGCCCCGACGATTAACAACAATGGTTACAGTGGCAGCTTGTGAAAAAGGGACAATTGGATAAATCATCTGATGACTATAACTGCACTTGGTCTTGTTTTACCAGTTGGCGCTCTGTCTCATGATGTAAAAGGGTATGTGGTTAAGTGGTTAGTGTGGGGCTCGGTGTGTGTAAAACACATAATAAAATAAGTGTTGTTATTTTAGTTTTGTTCTAAAAGTTTACATAAAAATGTTGATTACAAAAAATGACCCAAACTTTAGGTCTTTACTGCATAAATAATGTTTTCTGTCAAGCAGCATGAGCACCGTCCTTCTTATGTATTAGATGTATGGTTGCCAAGTGACTGAAACATCTGGAATGCTATTTAGTTAGAGAAGACCAAAGCATAGCTGCTGATGCCAGCATGGTAGTGGAAGAATGATGATTTGATAACTTTCCAGCCATTCAGTCGATCTGCAAACTCTTCTGAATACCAAAGTATTCTAGAGTCCAACGACGGCTCATAGATGTTACGGCTGAAGTTTGGACCCAACAGGGTCATAAAGGACAGCAGACCTCTCAGTAAAAGAACACCCAGGTGGGGAGAAGGGTCCAGATCTCAACCTGACTGAAATGCTCAAAACAGAACCTTTGCGGTTATTGTACAAGAACTTAAAGAAATTAGTAAAGGCCTAAAGGCACAGTGTGTAATATTTTTACTTGTTTACTATCAAACTCTGTGTATCACGTTCACAAATGTGTCCTTTCTCACCAAACTTTACTCTAAATATTCCCGTTAGCTTAAAGTTTTCCATTTTTACATAAACTGTGGTCGACGCTCCATAGTCATGTGCCATCTTGAAATACCGTAGCTGCTTAGGGACATAATGCCCTGTGTGTATTACTTTGCTATAAAAGTTTTAATCCCTCTCAACGTCGTGTGGGGTTGGCGCCCGTTCTCTTCTTGGCAGCCCTGCTGGTTAGGGCAAATTCTACTTCTTCCCCTTGGGAGGCTTGCCCTGCTGTAACCACATGTGATCGCTGGATTGAAAGCTGGAAGTTGTTTATAATTCTCCGGTGAACAAACAGCCGCGGGGGAGGAGGGGACGAGTGATGCAGCAGATGCGTTAGAGGCGACACTGGAGTGAGAAGACACAGCTGTTGCAAATGTCTGATCATACCCGTTCTACATGTATTAACACACACACACACACACACACACACACACACACACACACACACACACACACACACACACACACACACACACACACACACACACACACACACACACACACACACACACACACACACACACACACACACACACACACACACACACACACAGGAATCAAATCCCTGAGAGACACGCTGGCTGAAGAAGCAGCAACAACATGCAGACAGTTGAACGCTGTTGTGTGGTGTTTTCTGCGTGTGACCCCTGAAGTCAACACTACAGTGTCTCCCTCTCCCCCGCAGACGTGCGAGCAGTGCACAATGACACACTGGCTATTTGGGGCTTTCACATCTGGGCTGGCCTGGTCTAGCCCTGGTAGGTTTATTATGTTCACATCTAAGTAAGCCCATTTTGGTGGACTTGCTAACCCAACACACTCACTACTGACTGAAATTCACGCCTGCCCACAGAGGGAGCCTCTGATTGGTGGGTAGAATCAGTCACCTGCAGCTTCTGACGTGTGTGATTCAATATCAGTCTGGATGTGGCGGGGTAAACATCTTCGCTGCCTGCTGCTCAGAACCACCGCACCAGACTGCGGCAGCACAAGGACAGGCTGCTGTGGGAGAAGCACAAAGCACTCTCAGTGAGAGTAGGAAGCTGTGTGCTTCATTTTAGAGTCTCCAAAACCAACAAGGCTCACAGCAACCTTTGTTTACTAACTTATGGAGAACAACACTGTCTTTAGCCCCACCCACATGCTCAGAGACATCTGTGTTCCTGAGAAGGCTGTGTGAACAAAACGTGGCTGCATCGGGGCAGGCTGTCAATACCTACAGTATAGGGGTTTCACATCTGGTACATGCCCACTGATTGGCCAGCTCAAATAGGCCTCCTGTTAGGGGGAGCCTCCGATTGGTGGATAGAATCAGCAGTTGTGTGCAATTCATTATCATTCTGGATGCTAAGACGTAAACGCTACCTGACTGAAGCTGCGGCAGCTCTCTACCTCGTTCTCACTGCTGTGAGGAGCGAGCACACACACTTACATTCACACGATCACGGCCGCCTTTGTTTAAGGGTGACGCTACGGACTTGTCCACGCGTCCTTTGCCCCACCCACATGTTCGGAGATTTCCCCATTCCTGGGAAGTGTGTGTGATCAAACTCTACCGATGCTGGAGCCGGACCACCACCACCCAGCCCGGTCCGTGCTGGCCCAGATGGTAAACTGCCACTACACCAGGCCGGGCCAGGCCAGATGTGAAAGCCCTATTTGATGTAAGCGAGCTATTGCAGCTGCAGTACCTGCTCTGAACTGCGTGGTGCTAAGGAGTCAAGTGTTTTTACACACTTGGGGCTTTAAAAAGTTTTCACAGACAAACACAGGAAACAAAAGATATGGTCATAAAAAACTAACATCAAAGTGACAGTTTTGTATCTAAAGTAGGGCTGAATGATTTTAGGAAAAGATTTTTCTAGCAGAAACTGCGATTTTGGTTTCGTTGACGATTTTCTGCAAGCAAAGGTCCAACATTAGCCTGCCAAGCCATCCGGTAGATGACGTGAAAAGATGGTCTAGATTCTGATCTAGTACAACAAATCACTCACATTAATATTTACTGTTTAATCATACAATAAAAACAGTTACAGCTATTAATATTTTCTCCCATTATTATCTTTTTGTAGTGTTTGTGAAGCAACTTGTGATTTTCATCTGGAGAGGAGCTTTATAAAAGCATGTTCTACTCCAAAAATGCACGGAGGAAACCTGGAGGTAGAAATAGCTTTTAAATGTATTAAACAACTAAATGCACACAGTTTTGTCTGCATTACCGCGGCAGGCTGAAGCCGTCTGATGGTTTTTCCTCACCAAAATGTCAGCTCCGTGAGAGAGACACACGCATTCTGACACCTTAGCGCAGGGATTCCCAAAGTGTGGTGCGCGCACGAGGTGAAAAGTGTAATGGCTGCGGAGCTCAGAGAAGTCTGTCAGGTGTCACCATTAGCGTAGCCAGAAACTCACTTGTGGGTGGGCCTAAGAAAAAGTAAGTGGGCCCAATAAATGTAATGGAAAACAAGTATATTTTTGCACGCGTGTGTGTGTGTGTGTGTGTGTGTGTGTGTGTGTGTGTCCTCCACATGTGCCCTAGCTTCATTATAACAATGCGCCGAGCTTCAGCACTCTGGCCTGCGCACGCCGATATGTTCTGTATTTGATCATTTTTAACGGTGTTGGAGGAATCTGAAGGTGGCGAGTCATTCTGGCAGATTGTAATTAACACCCTGTCTCATGCAGGTGTTCTGACGTTGTAAACCTCACACACACACACACACACACACACACACAGATTCAATAAGTGCGCACGCTGCTTTAACTCCAGCGCGCCGTCAGACTGAAGGCAGAAATGAGCGCTACCTCCTCCGTGATAAAAACTTTTAAGAGGTTTTATAACATTTTTCATTCAAGGTCAAATTAGGATATTAGCTTCTGTTTTGGGATGACGTATTAAAGTCGGGTCCGCTCCAGCCAGTGACTCCTCATGAACCTGACCACAGCTCATGTTACTGCAGCATTTGTTATTCCGGTCCGCATGGCAGCGGATCGCAGATTCAGCCACACCATAAAACAGCAATGAGTCGGTCTGAGGTAAACGTGAACATCATGGCTATATCTTGTCCCCTATTGACATTTGATTACACACAAGTAGGTGCCTACTTTAAGAAAACCGTTAAATTGCATTGTTCATGTGCTACCTGGGCACTCTAAATATTTATTTAAAATTAAATCAAAGGAAATTGTAATGGTATCGAATGTTTATTAATTATTATATAAAAAATGAAAGTGATGGGGAAAAAGGTCGATCATAGTTTTTAACCCTGTCTGTCTAGCTTGACGTCTGATATATATATATATATATATATATATATATATATATATATATATATAGCCATGCCCTGATGTGGAGGCTGGGGGGTGCGCGGCTAAATAAGTTTGGGAACCACTGCCTTAGCGTGTTTGAACTAACGTGTGCCGTCAGAAACATTCAAACCGTTTTTAAAAGACAAGTTGAGCTTTCAAGTCAACTAAAGTGCGCGACTCCGCACTCGCGTTGATGACGCATAAACCAAGCTTTAGAAGTCAGCCTGAACCTGCTGAGGTGGGAGGAGTCTCTCTCTCCCTTACTCAACTACGCTCTCTCTCTCTCTCTGTCCCGGGCCCACCTACGGTGCCATTACTATCGGCTCTAGCAGCGCGGTGTGTGGGAACATAAAACAGGGAAACAACCTGAACATGCAGCTCTGGCAGCTGTGGAGTTGGGCTCGGCTCTGACCAGTACACCCCACCCCCCTCCCCCACACTGGCTGTTGTCGCTGCCATAACACGGGGGAAACCCCGGATGTAAAAATAAAAAAGTTACACAACTGATCCTGGATCAGTCAAAACCGCTAAAACCGGAGCTTTGACGGTTACGTGCTCGTTCTGTTTGAAATCGCAATTTTAGTCCAAAAACGATAATCGTTCAGCCCTAATCTAAAGGACAGCAGGTTGTCAATGGCATTACATGAGTTACAGATAATTTAGCATGATGATTTAGTTTTAACTTCCCATGAGTGTCTAGAGGTCCTGGAGCTCAAGACAACCAAATTATGTTTTTATCATCCCAACAAAACCAGCTCTGCTGACTTCTCCTGCAGGCTGGATAACTAAGCTGGCACAGCAGACTCAGAGGGACCGATTTGTGATGTGAAGCCTGACCTGAGTCACTAATAACACCATTTTATAAAAGACTGTGTTTACACACACACACACACACACACACACACACACACACGCACGCACACACACAAACCCCAACCCGAGACCAAAATAACCGCTAAACGTAATGTTAATATATTATAATAATGCAAGTGCACCCTTTAAAATGCAACAATTCAACCTTTATTTAACATTGGAAAGTCCAGAACTTCTAAATAAATAAACATAACAAACAAACAAACAAATACAAAACTAAATAAGGACTTTTTTTACTCCGTTAAAAGATATTGCACCAAAAACTATCAAATTGACCCCATCTCTCCAAAACTATAAATACAATGGCCTATCCAGTGTCATTCAACAACCAAAACTGTAATAATAAAAGATGTACATTTCTTAACCTCAATATATTGTGGCTGGAAAAATTATTGAGTTCATTTTCATCTATCGTACGATTAATTGATCTATTGATTATCGTCCTGGCCCTACATCTTACACATGTGGTAATGATTAAATCACTAAAGGTAAGGTTTTATCCTCAAATGTACCTTCAGACCTTCTAAATGTTTTACAGCTGTGATGTAAAATTAGAAGTCAAAGAAGCGTAGACACGGTTTCATCTAGAAGCAGCCAAAGCCATTTGTAGTAAACTGGTAATGAAGGGGTAGGGATTGATTGAAAACACTGACATTATTAACTTTTGGCACATATTAAAACCCTAATTAATCCTAATCAACTAAACACAAGTGCCAGCTCGTGAGTCCAACTCATGGACACCAAACTAAAGCACAATGTATGCGTGTTGCTTTAAGCTAGAAATCATTCAAGCTGCTTCCTCAGCTAGCACGGCCCTAAAAATAGTTGCACCCACTCTGAAGCCCTGATGAATCAGAACGTTGTCTACCTGTAGGAGAAGGAACTTCACAGCTTCTGTGTGGAAAAGAAGTCCAGAGGAAGAACCACAACAAATAAAACATGTATTAAATGGAGAGAATTCTAGTGAGATCCAACAGACCAGGAGCAGACAGCAAAATGCAACGCTGAGAAAGGGGGGAGCGTTCTGATAGGCCGGCTATATATGACAGTGACACACAAGAGATGTGGAGACAGCTGTTGTGATATGAGGGTGCTGGTGGAGGTAAAAATAGAAGGACCCTCCACCCTCCACACAGCCTGACCCAGACTCACAACGTCTCACCACATGGACCTCTACAGTTGCTGTAACTTTAGCTGTTTTTATGTGTGTGTGTGTGTGTGTGTGGGGGGGGGGGGGGGGGGGGGGGGGTGAGTGTAACTTTAATATAGAGCTAAATGGTGAGGTAACATGCCAATAAATGTTTTTCCTGGCTCAAACTGAGGCAGCGGTGGTACCATCCTGACCGTGCGCCAGCACATGCGTACTCTGTGCATTCAACTGCCGCACTTTTTTAAAGGCTAAATATTTTTTCGTTAAGTGTTCTAATCTAAGCTTCTGTTGATAAACAGAATATTCCATTTGACGTTTCAAGTGAAACAAAAGTGGTTTGCTGCTAAAAAATCAATAATATGCATCAGATCGGTGTTTAGTTTCTTTTTCCCATCTGATATTTATGGTTAAAATATTTTTATATATTTGACCTACATCTCAGTAACATTTTAGGTTTGTATTAATAACACTCATCTTAGTCAGAATAACACATAAATATATCCAGTAAAATATAATGCATGTCATTAACATGCATTTGTGTTGGAAATGCTAATAACATTTAATTTATGCTGCTAACAATGTAGTGGTGGCATGTCTATTATGTACGGGTTTTCAATAATCTAGTTTAAATTATGTTCAAAGATAGAAGCGTTTGTGAGTTATATGCTACAACGGCTTGCCGTACCTCCTGCCCCTGTGTGTGGAGCAGACTCGTAGCAGTAATGTGACTCGTACCTGCAGCGGTTCTGGTCCGTAGCGCTGCAGGAGGCAGAATAAACAGGATGGTGGGAACTTTTCATCCGCTTGTAGAGTTTAGTCTTTCTTAGTTTTACCATCATCATCATCATCATCATCATATATTTTTCTGTGCGCCACTTGATTGTGAGACTGCTACCCGTTAGCTTTAGCATTAGCCAGTCTGCGTGTAGCTGCACTTTTGATCCCAAACTTTGGACCGGTTCTGCCTTTGCTGGTTCCTTTATTTTCCTCCACTGCATCCAGATGACCACACTGCGCCAGTAAAAAGCATTTTTCTTACATGTAACTTACTTTTGTTCAATAAAGTTCTGAGGAAAATAGAAATTCAAAGATGTTGCACCCGTGCTACGTTTAAAAATAGACAGACACGCACAGTTTTTTCGTCGCACTGTACAGCCCTGCTCTGATGCGGAAGAGCCTGGGGAAAATCAGGACAGCAATAGCACCAACCACATATATTACGTGTTTTGTGTAAAGTGACCTTGGGTGTCCTGAAAGGCGCTTTGAAATAAAATGTATTATTATTATTATTATATATGTACAAACTAGGAGTAAGGTCTAGCTGCAGACGCAGCCCCGTCCAAACACGCCCCGACAAAACACGTGTGCACGTACGAAGACGAGAACTCGCATGCGTGTTGCAAGAGATGGAAATGACGGTTCAGGTAAAGACAGATTTATAATTTTACAACTTGCGAAGATGGTTCTCGACCGGAAAAGGGTGGCTTGCCACCTCCGGGTCGGGGGAGAGGTCCTACCTCAAGTGGGGGAGTTTAAGTATCTCGGGGTCTTGTTCACGAGTGAGGGTAGGAGGGATCGGGAGATCGACAGGCGGATTGGTTTGGCGTCTGCAGTGATGCAGACGCTGAGCCGATCTGTCATGGTGAAGAGGGAGCTGAGCCAGAAAGCCAGGCTCTGGATTTACCGGTCGATCTACGTCCCAATCCTCACCTATGGTCATGAGCTTTGGGTAATGACCGAAAGAACGAGATCGCGGATACAAGCGGCCGAAATGAGTTTCCTCCGTAGGGTGGCCGGACTCAGCCTTAGAGATAGGGTGAGGAGCTCGGACATTCGGGAGGGGCTCGGAGTAGAACCGCTGCTCCTCCGGATCGAAAGGAGCCAGTTGAGGTGGTTTGGGCATCTGGTCAGGATGCCTCCTGGACGCCTCCCCGGGGAGGTGTTTCGGGCATGTCCTGCCGGCAGGAGGCCCCCGGGTCGACCCAGGACACGTTGGAGAGGTTACATCTCCAATCTGGTCCGGGAACGCCTTGGGGTCCTGCCGGAGGAGCTGGTGGACAAGTCCGGGGAGAGGACGGCCTGGAGCTCCCTAGTTGGGATGCTGCCCCCGCGACCCGGACCCGGATAAGCGGAGGAAGACGAAGACGACGAAGACGAAGGCGAAGATGTTGTACTTTAAATTTGAACGTTTAAGACATAGTTTGATAGACAGCGCATTAGTGATTTTTTTCTGAAACACTTTTATGTAAAATTAAGCATTATTGGCAGTGGGGGAAGACGTCATGGACGCAAATTTTTTTATATAATTTTTAATGGGCTACATGCAAGCCTTTTGGCCAAAATAAACGTAACAATAGGCTGTTTATTTGACCGTTTATGACTCCTCATCTAATAAGCAGCAAACTCACGACGGCAATGTGGTAGCCCGGAGGTATTCTACAAACACAAGAACAGTGCCTATATGTATTGTTTTCACATTGTTTATGACAGCCTCCAGGTGTAAATGTCATTTTTTCTAATTGCTATTTATCTTTGTCTCATTAGTGAGAGGCAGCTGATGTCCTATGCCGTGGAACGGCTCATATACTCGGAGAAATTCAGAAAAGCTCTGGACTCATCTGAGTTTTTGAAGAGGCTGTAGCATTGTGTGGACATTTTTTTTTGGAAGGTATTTGTAAGGCCAATAAAAGCTGTTGCTGGGTGTTTCATTTGTCTGAACTTTTTTCTAAAGCCAAACTTTTCTGCTTTTGTGTTTACAGTATATTCTTGCAGATTAGTGTATAGTCAATATCAGTTTACTAGTCTTGTGAATTGTATACTTAATGCAAAATATTTTAGTAATGGGGGCGTGTTTGGACAGGTCTGCGTCTGCAGCTAGGTATTATTGCAAACTAATACCACGCCACGCTAATTTGAATGCAGGAAAAACCCTGCATGGGTCTTGTTTTAAATTGTTGCATTAATAAGGTGATGTAAAAGTCTAAATGACAAATACTGTGAATTTAATCCCAACCATTTAACTAAGTAACTAAGTTTAACTTCCGGTGTGAGGAAGGTGCTTCCTGTGAACCCTTCTTCTTCTGCTGTTCCTGTAGCTGTATTCATAGATATGTATATAAACACTAGATGACGAAAGCAGGAGTCGACGGCGTAGCTAAACGGCGGCCATCTTACCCCAGACAACAGACCCTTCCGCTCTCAATGGTAGCAGCTGGAAGGTGAGTGATCAGCTTACACAAAAACACCCTTAACTCGATGAAATATTAACAAGCGGTTTGCCTTGTTACAAACCTTAGAACACATGGGCTTGAGACAACATACTGGCACATGTTGAAAGCAACGCTTTTGCTTTTGAAAGTGGCTTAATCGTGAACCGTGTGTCCCGCCTAGCTATCTGCATGTTATTCAGGTTGAGACCACAATCTATATTTTATGCAGTTCTACAAAACCAATAACGACTTTACGACAGCCACATTGTTGTGTAAATGGCTGTTTGTGGACGTTTTTGTATTTATTAGCTGTCTAACTTGGCTTAGAGATGACGAGGGATACAGTGGGCGCACTGCTTAGCAAAACAAAGTTCACTATCTACCTCAGTGGGAGTCGCTCCTTTTATTTTAAATAAATTCATGCTAAATTGCCCGTGATTTTTAAGCGTCTTGGTTTGTTACACAAAACTTATACTGAGATATATTAAAACAGGACATTTCTGGATTTATGTTTGCAGAAATACACCTTTATTCATTGTGAAGCTTGAGGGTCAACATGGCTGACTTTCATGCAGCCTACGGATGCTCGAATCGCCGCTGTGACAAACTGTGACAACATGGGATCACCTTTCATCTTTAACTGTTCCAAAGAAAACCAATACTTGTACATTTTTCAGTCTGTTAACTGTTTTTATGTCAATAAAACAATTTGAAACTGCTGTTCCACTGCTGCTGCTACCTCCTTCTATACATTGTTTATCTGGTTTTATGAATGTTGAAAATCTCCTTCACAAGATCAATCCATTATCCATCCATCTTATTGATTACTGTAATCCATCTTGTTTATTACTGTAATCCATCTTATTGATTACTGTAATCCATCTTGTTTATTACTGTAATCCATCTTGTTTATTACTGTAATCCATCTTGTTTACTACTGTAATCCATCTTGTTTATTACTGTAATCCATCTTGTTTATTACTGTAATCCATCTTGTTTATTACTGTAATCCATCTTGTTTACTACTGTAATCCATCTTGTTTATTACTGTAATCCATCTTATTTATTACTGTAATCTATCTTATTGATTACTGTAATCCATCTTGTTTATTACTGTAATCCATCGTGTTTATTACTGTAATCCATCTTGTTTACTACTGTAATCCATCTTGTTTATTACTGTAATCTATCTTAATGATTACTGTAATCCATCTTGTTTACTACTGTAATCCATCTTGTTTACTACTGTAATCCATCTTGTTTATTACTGTAATCCATCTTGTTTACTACTGTAATCCATCTTGTTTATTACTGTAATCTATCTTAATGATTACTGTAATCCATCTTGTTTACTACTGTAATCCATCTTGTTTATTACTGTAATCTATCTTAATGATTACTGTAATCCATCTTGTTTACTACTGTAATCCATCTTGTTTATTACTGTAATCCATCTTGTTTACTACTGTAATCCATCTTGTTTATTACTGTAATCCATCTTGTTTATTACTGTAATCTATCTTAATGATTACTGTAATCCATCTTGTTTACTACTGTAATCCATCTTGTTTATTACTGTAATCCATCTTGTTTACTACTGTAATCCATCTTGTTTACTACTGTAATCCATCTTGTTTATTACTGTAATCCATCTATTACTGTAATCCATCTATTACTGTAATCCATCTTGTTTATTACTGTAATCCATCTTGTTTATTACTGTAATCCATCTTATTTATTACTGTAATCCATTTTATTTATTACTGTAATCCATCTTATTTATTACTGTAATCCATCTTATTTATTACTGTAATCCATCTTATTGATTACTG